GGACTTACAAATTGAAGTTGAGCAACTTTAGAAAAAGAAATTGTAATTGGAGCCCTTAGAGCAATACCTAAAGGACTACCTCGAAATTCTGAATTTATCAGACTTGAATACCCTGATTCTACAAAACATCACCCTACTTAGAACAGCTTATATTCTCCAACCCTACCATAACAGTTCCTAGGTCCTTGGTTAGGACTTGAGCTGTTGAGCTACCAACCAGCCCCAAAGGCTGTGAATCTCACTAAAGAAATAATAATAATAATAATAATAATAATAATAATAATAATAATAATAATAATAATAATAATAATAATAATAATAATAAAAATAAAAATAAAAATAAAAATAAAAATAAAAATAATAAACATAATAAAAATAATAAAAATAATAAAAATAAAAATAGCTTATCCATTTTAATAAGCCCTCCTTATAAAATTAATCCTTCTCTTATATTTCCATATTTCTAACTTCTGTTTTATTGGCTAGCCATTTGTAAAATGAGTCCCACATTAAAAAGTTTTCAGTTTCTTCCTTTTCCTTAACTTTGAGTGTTAATCTATCAATTTCTATACATTCTAATATTTTTTTAATTATGTTTTCCTCTGTAGGAATTTCTTCACTTTTCAAATGTTGTGCAAATACAATTCTAGCTGCAGTTAGTACATGTAAAATCAAGTATGTATTTCCTTTATAATATTTTTTCTGGTAAGATGCCCAACAAGAATATTTCTGGTTTTAAATCTATAGGTTGCTTCATCATTTTTTCCAACCATGTATGTATTTTTGTCCAATATTTTTTGGATAACACAAACCTAGTGCCTGATTACATTTCCAACATTTTGTGGATATGTCCTTAAACATCTTTGCCAATCTTGTGGGTGAAAAATGCCATCTATAAAACATTTTATAAAGATTTTCTTTGTATGCAGTTGACATCATTAATTTATAATTCCTATCCCACAATTTCTGCCATTTATCTAACTCTATTGTATAATCATACTATTATTGTCTCCTTTACTTGCTCCCCTTCCATTTTAATGCTCAATAGATAACTATTGAGCAGCATTTTTTAAAATTAGTTTTTCACCCGTCCCTGTTAATATCTGATTGAGTTCTGTTGGTTCTTTATAAAAACCACACATTTTAGCATCTTTCTTGCCAGTTCTTCTTTTTCTATTAAGTTTGTGTTTTATTAATTCCATTTTATTTTTCAAGTTATTTTTGTGGTTCTTTCTGTAATTCTAATTCTAATCTTTTATGTTCTTCTTCTGTCTTTTGATATTGTTTCTTTTTCTTATTTTTCCTTCCTATATAAATTAGAGCTAGCCCACGGAAATACGCCTTGGCAATATGCCATACATTTTGCAGTGAGGTATCTCCTTTTCTGTTCTCTTTGAAAAAGAAATCCAGTTCTTCTTCCATTGTTTGTATAAACTTCTTATCCCTTTGCTTTGTAAGGAAGGCTAAATAACCATTATTTTCCCATTGCAATAAAAAATCTTGGTGACAACTTCCCTGTGCTTGTCTTTTGGCAACATTAAGACAAACACCATTACTTTATTGTAGTAGAAATGCCTATGCTTAATTTGATGTGTGTGTACTTTAGTTTTCAAGCTCTGCATAAAACCCTTAAATATCATTTTGATTAAACTTCTGTTTCTAATATGTGACATGAGCCAGATTAGGAAACTTACGGATATGAAACCTGTGTACTACTGCATACATTTCATGCCTGTTTGTTTGGATCTGCTGAGCCTTTTTCATCTGTTTGTCTTATGCAGGGAGTTGAATAGCTTAGTCCAGAGGTCTCTATATTTGGCAGCTTTAGGACTTGTGGACTTCAACTCCGAGAATTTAAGGAAGTTGTCAAATTTGGAGAGGCCTGGCTTAGTCCATACAGTGAATTGCTACTAATTTTTCAAGGAAACCATACATTCATACTGACACTGAAATGTACTTGCATGATAGAGCTTTATTAGGCTTTTTTTTTTTTTTTTTACAGTAGCGTAATAGACAGAGTTTCATAAGAGTTGCCTTTTGCTGATTCAGAAACTTCCCGGCAAAACCTTAGCTTTCATCTCTTCAAACCCACTCATTATGTGGCTGGTCCATTCAATCAATCTGCAGGGACTTCAACATATATATTGTTGCTGCTAGAAGCCTACCACTTGGGGAAATGAATAAGAATTCCATTCTGATAACATTTAGAAGCTTTGCGAAACTTTTTTTTAAAGAAACAAACAAACAAATATTTCAGCAGAGCCCATGGTTTGATTTCAGCAGGAAGCTATTTCACAAGAGAGAAAATTGTACCTAGCCCCTCCTTCTTTCAACTATGCTGAAAGATCTTCTGCGGACACATTCTTTTCTCTGGCCTCCCTTTACACATAAACATTGGGTTGTTCAACTATGCCTCCAGCCCTAACATACGCAGTGAAATCTGGAGAAATCAGTCCTTTGAGGTAGACCAGGTCAGGAAATAGCCGTCACAAGGTTTACTAAAACTCTATAGTTGCAAACTATGGTTTTCCAATTTGGCCTGCCTTATAGGACTGATAGTCTCAGGGAAATATATTGATATATAGAAGTATATAGATCACTTAGATGAATTCGCTACTTTCCTCTGTCTGTCTGTCTGTCTGTCTATTTATCTATCATCTATCTACCTCTACTTATATCTATTATCTGCTGCCAACTATTCCCCTGATTAAAAGTTAAGAGTGGTGGACAGAAATATGCCACCACATTTGAATCTCTCAAGGAGGGAAAAGAAACTTTTAAAGCTGCTATCAGGCAACATTTCTTGACCAGCAAAAAGAAGCTACCTACACAACCCCAGGAAATCAGCTATTTTAAAGGAAGAACCAGCCACACAGCATTTCTGAATGAACTGTGGCTCAGCCAAAATAAATCATCTTGACTGTTGTTCAGAAAACTTATCACATATTAGTTTATGTCAATAACATCATCAGACAAATTTAGAGAGTCACGTACATTCCATTTGCATCGGTTACAATTTGTAATTCCCACCTTTGGACCTCTTCCAAACCAAGCTTTCAATAAATTCAGTGCTTGGATTCTGATCATTTGTCTGACTGCCATAATTCCTCATTACAATATAAATACTACTGACATTTGTAGAAGCAAAGGTTACTTATTATTTAGCATTGTTTTATTGTGATGTATCTCATAAAAATCTGTTCGAAAGCATACCATAGCAAAAGAGGGCAATTTTTTACACAGGTGGCATGCATGCTTTTGAGTTTTCCAAAAGTCTTCATCAGCCAATTCGAAACGAAATCAAGTTAGATGGAGTGGGAGTGAGACAGGAATGAGGAGAAAAAGAAAAAGGGGTTTTCCTCTTCTTCTATATTCCTACCCCATCCTTCTGTAATATCCAGCTGAAAAGAAAATTTGGAGCTATACAAATGTACTGCTCCAACAGGCAGTCAGCTTTCAGCTTTCACAAAGACTCTGGTGACTTTTTCCCTTAAAACAAATAAATAGTTGTATTTGCCCTCCTTTGCCCAGCAACATCCAAAGTCTTGAGTCCCAAAGGTGTTTTTTTCTAAAAGGCAACTGGAATTGACCTGGATGATTGAGGATCTTCATGGATACTCTTTTACTTTAGGTTTATTCTCTCGGGAGGATTCAAAGTAACTCTACTGATTCTCCCTCATTGTTCCTGATTTCATGTGTGAAATTCCAAACATGCACAGTATAAGAAAAGTTTATTATGGATAAATCACTTTTGCACTGAACAGGAGTTGCAGATAGACTCACAAAGTGAAAGCTTTTTTTGACCCAGATAGGCAAATAGGAAATCGATTTTGGGCTTATAAGTTTAGACAAGGTATTAGCCAAGTTGAAAAAGAATTAAGAATATAGAAGGCTCCACTGTTCACAACATCTGGAAAGACATTTGTTATTTTGGATGCACCTTCCAGTTTGGCACACAAATCCTACCCAAAAACAGGATCATATTGGTTAGTTTATGTCTCACCATAAAAAAAAAAGGCTTATTTATTTTAATATCAGGGTGACTCCCAGAAACTACCTCTGTACGAGAGGCTCCAGCTGCATCTGACCCTTCTTCACTGACAGTAAATACAATTGCCTGATAAACCTGAGACACAACTAACTGATTATTCCCAGTCATGCCAGATAAATCGGCTTTGCCTGGAATAAACAGATTCTTCACCCCCATGTCTGAAAACGGACCTTTCAGTGGATATTGATTTTGCACTGTGAACTTTGGCATGGAAAATTTAATTGGTACGCTTTTCATATTTTCTGGATTGGTCCATTCTTGAAGTTGTTCATAAGTGAGATTCATTATAATCTGTCAAGAAAAATAGAAATCAATACAAGAGTGGAAAAAAATATTGGTGGGGGAGAACAAAACAGACAAATGGTTTTTCAAAATGCCAAACAACTTCATAATAACCACATTATCATTTTGACATAATCTAATAAATTTATCTGATGAAATGCTACTTCTTTTCAAGATGCTGAGCAGTGCATCTAGGAAGAGCTTATCTTGCTCCAGGTTTGTGAATATGTCTGCTTACACCAGATATTCACAATCTCATGGGCTGCCAGGCACTCACAGTTTATGCATTCCCTGTAAGAGAGATTTCTCTGACATGTAAACAAAGGCAAATAATCCAGATTCCTTGCTGAAGGGAGAAAAAGTGAGCCCTTTTAAAACAAAAGGCAAAATTTCAAGAGAAGTGATGGCTACCAATTCCCATCAGCCTCAGATTAAAATCAGGAATCCCAGGAAAGGGAGAGATGTAATCTCTGTAGAAATCAAGGGCAAAAGCTAGCATTGCCAAGATTCAAAAGATTCCACTGCTTGACTCTTCTCTCAACCCAGTCTACCTAACAGAGATTGTGAGGATGCTGAGGGAAAGAGAAGATTACTGCATGCATGCTGTTTTTTGTTCCTAGAGGAATAGTAAAATAAAAATGCTGGACATCCATAAAATGTATTAATGTGCTGTAGGTTTTTTTTCTATCTAGGTTTTCTTTTTTTACCCCTCATCCAGTCATGTCACCCAATAGAGCAACGTCTTTCCTAAATCATATCATCAATATACAGGAACTAAGGGCAGCAAGTGCAGGTTCAGCTGTCAAAATGCAGCTTTTCCCAAATGCCAGGCCAAAGTTCAGCATAGAGTCAAGAACCTCATATTTTCATATATGGTGGTCATTGTTATTGGAATGGCTTAAGAGTGGGTGGCAGTTGGAGTAAAAGAACCACACTAATAAAAATTGACTCTCAATAGTACACACACATACTGACAGAGAGATACTATTGGAGAAAGAAAAATATTGTACAAAAGTATACCCAACAGTTTGCTCCCTCCCTTTTTCAAGCTTTGCATAAGCTTGCCTAACAACATGGCCAAGTATTTAATATACTGGTCGTTGTAGAAGAGATAGGAATATCTCTTGTACGTAAAGTAGTATTCTCAGTATATCACTAAACACGAGACCAGACATGATGGCAGTGGTCTTGGGGAAGACTGTTGGACACAAAAGATAGATAAGGAGAATATTTGCAGTTCAGAATTGAATGGGGGGAGGTCCTTGGTGCTCTCTGGGCTTAGTTGTTTTCTTGCAGAAGTTTCGTTATCCAAACTAGGTAATATCATCAGTCTTAGTGAGAGAAGGGTGGGGTGGATAATAGGCTATATTCTGGATAGTGGATTTCTATTTCTCTCTCTCTCCCTCCCCCCATTGATAATGGGAGGTCCTCAAGACAGATTAGTCAGCAAATTTTGGCTAGTGTGTCACTAGAATAATTCCTGCTACTCTGTGATAGCTAGCAACATTGATCTCTAGACAACATTGCAAGCTAGTATATTGTTGCCCACAAACTAAGGAATATGTTCAGTATACTGACACATTTAGAATCATACAGTTAGTTATTATACTGATAAACAATATGAGAAATATATATATATACCCAAACTTAGATTTGAGAATTATTTAGGATTAGAAACACCATTTCCTGTAATTCTATGATTTTTAAAAAGTTGTAGATGTAAATTTAGGGATGTGTCTTCAGATCTTTTACCAAGCATACTATTAAAATACAGATTCAAAACTCAAATCACCTCATCTGTAGATACGTTGTTATCTGGTAGAAGAACGACGAAAGACACCTCTTCATTCTCATAAAGCATCTCCACCACTGTCATTGGTGGGTTCAATATATTGGCTATGTTAAATCTGCCCCTTTGAGTCATCATATCCACATACATGCTCTGATCCTATAACAAGGAAAGCAATGCTTAAAAGTAAAGCTATAACAATATCAGGAATTTCAAGATGAAATGTTGAGTATAATACCAATTTTTCATTTCAGACTCTGATAATTCAGGATACCACCTACTATATATAGATTTTGTGTTCCCATGGTGTTCAACAAGGCTGTTACTTTTAATTGCTTGACAGAATTGTGATTTTCCCTGGTTGTTTATATACCATACCTTGCAAGTCCAAAAGATTCCTCTTTGTGTATCTTTTGGATTAAATGGCATCTTCCACTTTCCTTGGAAAAAGATAGTACTTAATAAGATCATGGCAGTTGATCGGTCAATGGAGTTAGCACGAAAGAAATTCGTGATCTCACCTTTAGGAAGATAAATTGAATGAAAATATCAGCAAATGGTGGAATACTGTCAATGAATCACTTCTTTCTACAACTCAGTTTTTGAGTCCGAGAATAGAAAAGAATACACAAAACATAAAAATCCAAGATAAGTGAAAGAGTGAAAATGTAAACCTAAAATGACCTGATTTCATTTATTCATCACATTTATGCAGGCACCCATCTCACTCTGGGAAGTATACAGTAAAAAACAACAACCCAGAACAACAATATGTTAAAGCAAGAATGACACCAGAGACGCACATAATACCAGGGGGTGTTTAAAAACTCAGACATAACGGAGCCATTTTGTGGGTTCCCTGTGTCCAAAAGAAGGTTGGACCCAACTGTGCAAATCCTTTATCTAAAGCCATGGATGAGAAAGATTCATTGGGCTGAAGGCCTGAAACTGAGCCTCTGATATACTGCAGATTGGTGATATATTCAGGTCCTGGCCTACCCCAGACCCTAGGTTAATTTTCTCTTCTTCAGCATCTTAGCAGGGCATATTCACTGACCCTTTCTATATTGTTTAAAATTCATGAATGACCTTTTTGGCACTTAAAGTGGCAGATTAAAATATACAAGAACTGGCTTCATGCTCAGAGAGGCATCCTCTTATCTCACTCCACAGCACATCAGTCCATAAAAATCCCCTGCACATCATTGATTTTTCATGCAGTAGAATGTCCATCATCTATCCTTTCCCTTTAGTTCTCAATGACTACACATTCAGTGATATTATACTTCATGTTCAGTGTGGGAAATCCAATGAGCAGCGTACAATATCTTACCATTTGTTTGCCTTTCAACCCAGGAATTAATTTTCTGTCTAACTTCCTCATTTGCATTCATAAAGTCAACACTTTCCAATTCGCAATTGTATAGCTCTTTCGTGCACTTTTCGTATCGCTGCACCAAAGGAAAGAAGACATATCAATATATTCATTCCCCTATTATCACATGCACTTCATCAATAAATCTAGTTGACATTGGTTGCTGGCCAAGCTAGATGGCAGCACCTAGTTTGCTGCGCCTCAGTCAGTAGGCTAGACTGGAAAGTTGAAAATAATCCTAGAGCTGGGGAATTCTGGGAGTTGTAGTCCACACGTCTGAAAATTGCTTTTCAGGTTGAGAAACTCTGTCCTAGAAGAATGAAATTCCTGGTGTTTGCATGGCATCATTGCCTGAAAAATTGTGTGTGTGTGTGTGTGTGTGTGTCTATACACAAAACATGATACCTGTAGAATTTCTAGTAAACCATATTTAGGAAGTGGATCATCATCAATTCCACATTTACAAAGGCACGGCTTATCATAGTTGTTACATCTAGAGCTACTACTCCTGTTTTTCTTTGAAGTCAGTTGTACTTAATTCTACTCTCTGAAATTCATAGTCAGAAAGATATGTGGTTGCTTCAAGCTGCTGATTATTGTGAACATCCAGATTGGCTATCCATCAATATTGGATTAATAGGTAAAGAGGGAAAAAGTGTTCTTTCTTACCTCCAGGAAATGATAAACCTTTGATCCATATAGCCGACTGGCTATCTTCAGCGTATGATATTTGGAAGGCTGTTTGATGGCTGATAGGAGCTGCTTGAACCAGCTGTGAAATCCTCCAGGTTTATCGCACTCAGACCCAGAAAGCTTCAAGCAGAAAAGGACAGCAGATTTACAGTAATATAAATATGTTTGCCAACATCCTTCAAAATATTTATATTTACCATAATTCATAACAGAATAAGCCATAATAGAAATCGCACTTAGCAATAGCATTTAGCCTTATATACCATTTCACACTGCTTTAGAGCTCTCTCTAACTGGTTTACAGAGTCAGCATATTGCCCCCAATAATCTGGGTCCTCATTTTATTGACCTCAGAAGGATGGAAAGCTGAGTCAACCTTGAGTCTGGTGAGATTCAAACTGCCAAACCGCTGACAATGGGTACTGCCTGCAGTACTGCATTCTAGCCACTGCTCCATCATGGCTCATAACAACTCATATATGACAATTCTTAGCTAAAAGATTTCAGGATGTGAATACCGTGTTTCCCCAAAAATACAACCTACCCTGAAAATAAGCCCTAGCTTGATTTTTTTGGGGGGATGGGTGGGCCTAACATAAGCCCTACCCCAAAAATAAGCACTGGTCAAAAGGGTGGGTATACTCGGCCCCTTAATCATGGCCCGTGGATCAGCTGAGCCAGCAAGGGCCGGGCGCTGCCTCTCGTCCTATCTTTCTGGGTACCTGAGGTATTGCCAGCCCCAGCCCTGCCCACAGCACATTGGAATTGCCTGCTTCTCCCCCCCACCCCCCCTCTGCTCGGCTGCACCTACTGCTGCTGGCCTCCTGGGGGCTCTTGATCAGATTGCTACCTTTGCCTGTTGCTGGTGCCA